CGTTTAACGGCGTACACATACACGCGGAATCACTCGGACGTTTAATGGCGTACACATACACGCGGAATCACTCGGACGTTTAACGGCGTACACACACACGCGGAATCACTCGGACGTTTAATGGCGTACACATACACGCGGAATCACTCGGACGTTTAACGGCGTAGACACACACGCGGAATCACTCGGACGTTTAACGGCGTACACATACACGCGGAATCACTCGGACGTTTAACGGCGTACACATACACGCGGAATCACTCGGACGTTTAACGGCGTACACATACACGCGGAATCACTCGGACGTTTAACGGCGTACACATACACGCGGAATCACTCGGACGTTTAACGGCGTACACATACACGCGGAATCACTCGGACGTTTAACGCCGTACACATACACGCGGAATCACTCGGACGTTTAACGGCGTAGACACACACGCGGAATCACTCGGACGTTTAACGGCGTAGACATACACGCGGAATCACTCGGACGTTTAATGGCGTAGACATACACGCGGAATCACTCGGACATTTAATGGCGTAGACATACACGCGGAATCACTCGGACGTTTAATGGCGTACACATACACGCGGAATCACTCGGACGTTTAACGGCGTACACATACACGCGGAATCACTCGGACGTTTAACGGCGTACACATACACGCGGGATCACTCGGACGTTTAACGGCGTAGACATACACGCGGAATCACTCGGACGTTTAACGGCGTACACATACACGCGGAATCACTCGGACGTTTAACGGCGTAGACATAGACGCGGAATCACTCGGACGTTTAACGGCGTACACATACACGCGGAATCACTCGGACGTTTAACGGCGTAGACATACACGCGGGATCACTCGGACGTTTAATGGCGTAGACATACACGCGGAATCACTCGGACGTTTAACGGCGTACACATACACGCGGGATCACTCGGACGTTTAACGGCGTAGACATACACGCGGAATCACTCGGACGTTTAACGGCGTACACATACACGCGGAATCACTCGGACGTTTAACGGCGTACACATACACGCGGAATCACTCGGACGTTTAATGGCGTACACATACACGCGGAATCACTCGGACGTTTAACGGCGTACACATACACGCGGGATCACTCGGACGTTTAACGGCGTAGACATACACGCGGAATCACTCGGACGTTTAACGGCGTACACATACACGCGGAATCACTCGGACGTTTAACGGCGTAGACATACACGCGGAATCACTCGGACGTTTAACGGCGTAGACATAGACGCGGAATCACTCGGACGTTTAACGGCGTACACATACACGCGGAATCACTCGGACGTTTAACGGCGTAGACATACACGCGGGATCACTCGGACGTTTAATGGCGTAGACATACACGCGGAATCACTCGGACGTTTAATGGCGTAGACATACACGCGGAATCACTCGGACGTTTAACGGCGTACACATACACGCGGGATCACTCGGACGTTTAATGGCGTAGACATAGACGCGGAATCACTCGGACGTTTAACGGCGTACACATACACGCGGAATCACTCGGACGTTTAATGGCGTACACATACACGCGGGATCACTCGGACGTTTAATGGCGTAGACATACACGCGGAATCACTCGGACGTTTAACGGCGTAGACATACACGCGGGATCACTCGGACGTTTAATGGCGTAGACATACACGCGGAATCACTCGGACGTTTAATGGCGTAGACATACACGCGGAATCACTCGGACGTTTAACGGCGTACACATACACGCGGGATCACTCGGACGTTTAACGGCGTAGACATAGACGCGGAATCACTCGGACGTTTAACGGCGTACACATACACGCGGAATCACTCGGACGTTTAATGGCGTACACATACACGCGGAATCACTCGGACGTTTAATGGCGTACACATACACGCGGAATCACTCGGACGTTTAATGGCGTACACATACACGCGGGATCACTCGGACGTTTAATGGCGTAGACATACACGCGGAATCACTCGGACGTTTAATGGCGTAGACATACACGCGGAATCACTCGGACGTTTAACGGCGTAGACATACACGCGGGATCACTCGGACGTTTAATGGCGTAGACATACACGCGGAATCACTCGGACGTTTAACGGCGTACACATACACGCGGGATCACTCGGACGTTTAACGGCGTAGACATACACGCGGAATCACTCGGACGTTTAACGGCGTACACATACACGCGGAATCACTCGGACGTTTAACGGCGTAGACATAGACGCGGAATCACTCGGACGTTTAACGGCGTACACATACACGCGGAATCACTCGGACGTTTAACGGCGTAGACATACACGCGGAATCACTCGGACGTTTAACGGCGTACACACACACGCGGAATCACTCGGACGTTTAATGGCGTAGACATACACGCGGAATCACTCGGACGTTTAACGGCGTACACATACACGCGGAATCACTCGGACGTTTAATGGCGTAGACATACACGCGGAATCACTCGGACGTTTAACGGCGTAGACACACACGCGGAATCACTCGGACGTTTAATGGCGTAGACATACACGCGGAATCACTCGGACGTTTAACGGCGTACACACACACGCGGAATCACTCGGACGTTTAATGGCGTAGACATACACGCGGAATCACTCGGACGTTTAACGGCGTACACATACACGCGGAATCACTCGGACGTTTAATGGCGTAGACATACACGCGGAATCACTCGGACGTTTAACGGCGTAGACATACACGCGGAATCACTCGGACGTTTAATGGCGTACACATACACGCGGAATCACTCGGACATTTAACGGCGTAGACATACACGCGGAATCACTCGGACGTTTAATGGCGTACACATACACGCGGAATCACTCGGACATTTAACGGCGTAGACATACACGCGGAATCACTCGGACGTTTAATGGCGTACACATACACGCGGAATCACTCGGACATTTAACGGCGTACACATACACGCGGAATCACTCGGACGTTTAATGGCGTAGACATACACGCGGAATCACTCGGACGTTTAACGGCGTAGACATACACGCGGAATCACTCGGACGTTTAATGGCGTAGACATACACGCGGAATCACTCGGACGTTTAATGGCGTAGACATACACGCAAAAGATTTCGGCGTGGACACACACGCTGATAGCTCAAAATGCGTGTAGATAACACGCCACTTGACTTGAAAGTGGCGTGTATGTTTACGCAAAGTCATGATGTCATGTTGCACAGTCAGACACACAGGCTCTCTCTCTCAAATATAATGATAATGATAATGATATATATATATATATATACGTATATATATATATATATAAATTTTTTTTAATTATTTGTTTTATTTTATCATATCATTTATATCACAAAACTGTTTTGCGCATGTGCTACCGCTCTCGCACGTATTTGCTGTGAGAAACAGAATGGACCTCGGGTTCGGGCTTCAGTTTAAAGCCCGTGCAGACCTCTAACACACACACATACACATCACTCACACACACACTCATACACACACACACACATACACACACCACTCACACACACATACACACTCACACACACACACACACACACACACACACACACACACACTCTCTCTCACAACTATTTCAAATAAAATCTCATATAAAAACAGCCTCAGCATTTATAATAATAGTATAAAGTAATTGAATTAGATTATTACAGTGGCGCTTTCTTTATTAGCTGATTCGACTTGACGAATTTTGCAACATCAACAGTTATTAAACTGAACTGAATCAACACTGAACCGAATCAACACTGAACTGAACCGAATCAACACTGAACTGAACTGAATCAACACTGAACTGAACCGAATCAACACTGAACTGAACTGAATCAACACTAAACTGAATCAACACTGAACTGAACTGAATCAACACTGAACTGAATCAACAGTGAACTGAGTGAACACTGAACTGAACTGAATCAACACTGAACTGAACTGAATCAACACTGAACTGAGTGAACACTGAACTGAATCAACACTGAACTGAGTGAACACTGAACTGAATCAACACTGAACTGAGTGAACACTGAACTGAGTAAACACTGAACTGAGTGAACACTGAACTGAGTGAACACTGAACTGAGTGAACACTGAACTGAATGAACACTGAACTGAGTGAACACTGAACTGAGTGAACACTGAACTGAATCAACACTGAACTGAGTGAACACTGAACTGAATCAACACTGAACTGAGTAAACCCTGAACTGAGTGAACACTGAACTGAGTGAACACTGAACTGAATCAACACTGAACTGAGTGAACAATGAACTGAATCAACACTGAACTGAGTGAACACTGAACTGAATCAACACAACTGAGTGAACACTGAACTGAGTGAACACTGAACTGAATCAACACTGAACTGAGTGAACACTGAACTGAGTGAACACTGAACTGAGTGAACACTGAACTGAGTGAACACTGAACTGAATCAACACTGAACTGAGTGAACCCTGAACTGAGTGAACACTGAACTGAGTGAACACTGAACTGAATCAACACTGAACTGAGTGAACACTGAACTGAGTGAACACTGAACTGAGTGAACACTGAACTGAGTGAACACTGAACTGAGTGAACACTGAACCGATGTGAATAATGACTCTGATCTTCTGTAGAGCTGCTTTACTGAATCTGAATGTGTGTCATATCTGATGAAGATTCATCACTGATTCTGATATTCTGCTGTTCATTACTGTGACGCGATCTGGACTGTGTGAAGCGCTGGAGGAATAAAGCTGATTCTTCAGTATTTTGGGGTGAGAACGCACAGCTATTCAGAAGAGTTCGACTCAATTTCATTCCAGCGTCCACCAGACATGAATCTTTCTGCTTTAATAATTCATTGCAGTAAAATAGCATCAGCCTCTGCTTAGTTTCCATGACGACATCCCATCACAAAAGGACATGGCATTGTTACCATACCAACACCAGTGCGTTAGACTTACTCAAGGCGTCGCAGGAGTTCTGGCAGACGAAGAAGAAGAAGAAGAAGAAGAAGAAGAGGAGTGGACCTCTATCGACCCGCACAGCCATGACCCTCGACGCTTCTCCCTCGTCCAGACACTGTGTGGAGCACACACACACACACACACACACACACACTTAACCAGTGTAACAGGAGCGGATACACACGACTCTGAAGACGTTCAATAACGGCTTATAAAGCCCAAAATATCTGACAGAAGATGAAGACGACAATATCAATAATCAATGCTATTCATGACAATATTAATAAATGTTACTTATGATAATATCAATAAATGTTACTTACGACAATATTAATAAATGTTACTCATGCCAATATTAATAAATGTTACTTATGCCCATATTAATAAATGTTACTAATGCCAATATTAATAAATGTTACTTATGCCAATATTAATAAATGTTACTTATGCCAATATTAATAAATGTTACTTATGAAAATATGAACAAATGTTACTTACGACAATATTAATAAATGTTACTCATGCCAATATTAATAAATGTTACTTATGCCAATATTAATAAATGTCACTTATGCCAATATTAATAAATGTTACTTATGCCAATATTAATAAATGTTCCTTATGCCAATATTAATAAATGTTACTTACGACAATATTAATAAATGTTACTTATGCCAATATTAATAAATGTTACCTATGCCAATATTAATAAATGTTACCTATGCCAATATTAATAAATGTTACCTATGCCAATATTAATAAATATTAATAAACTCGAAGGCGTTCATCGCTGCTGCGAGCGCAGCCGTTTCTGGTGCGGTTTAGATCCGGTGCTGACGCGGCTCGGTACAGCGGATGGTTAATATAGAGTAAATGCTGTATGGTCTGGACTCTGATTAGAATAAACACACACTCTAACAGTGGCGAGTAAAGTGCTCGTGTACAACAACACACTCATCTCAAGCCTCACACCACCACTACACTTATATAGATATGGATTTTTTACGAGAGAGCCCATTAATTATTGAACAGCTTCCCAGGCATTGTGTGTTTTACTCTCCGGCCTTCGCATTAAGTGCAGACCCACCGCATTCTTCCGAGAGCGACTCAGCAGAACCTCCTCAGCCGGAGCTCAGTGTTTCCTCAATCCATCATTCTCATCCAGGGCTGAATCAGGACATCACTGAACGCGTGTGTGCGCATCAGGACATCGCTGAACGTGTGTGTGCGCATCAGGACATCGCTGAACGTGTGTGTGCGCATCAGGACATCACTGAACGTGTGTGTGCGCATCAGGACATCACTGAACGTGTGTGTGCGCATCAGGACATCGCTGAACGTGTGTGTGCGCATCAGGACATCACTGAACGCGTGTGTGCGCATCAGGACATCGCTGAACGTGTGTGTGCGCATCAGGACATCGCTGAACGTGTGTGTGCGCATCAGGACATCGCTGAACGTGTGTGTGCGCATCAGGACATCGCAGAACGTGTGTGTGCGCATCAGGACATCGCTGAACGTGTGTGTGCGCATCAGGACATCGCTGAACGTGTGTGTGCGCATCAGGACATCGCTGAACGTGTGTGTGCGGATCAGGACATCGCTGAACGTGTGTGTGCGGATCAGGACATCGCTGAACGTGTGTGTGCGCATCAGGACATCGCTGAACGTGTGTGTGCGCATCAGGACATCGCTGAACGTGTGTGTGCGCATCAGGACATCACTGAACGTGTGTGTGCGCATCAGGACATCGCTGAACGTGTGTGTGCGCATCAGGACATCACTGAACGTGTGTGTGCGGATCAGGACATCGCTGAACGTGTGTGTGCGCATCAGGACATCGCTGAACGTGTGTGTGCGCATCAGGACATCGCTGAACGTGTGTGTGCGCATCAGGACATCGCTGAACGTGTGTGTGCGCATCAGGACATCGCTGAACGTGTGTGTGCGCATCAGGACATCGCTGAACGTGTGTGTGCGCATCAGGACATCGCTGAACGTGTGTGTGCGCATCAGGACATCGCTGAACGTGTGTGTGCGCATCAGGACATCACTGAACGTGTGTGTGCGGATCAGGACATCGCTGAACGTGTGTGTGCGCATCAGGACATCGCAGAACGTGTGTGTGCGCATCAGGACATCGCTGAACGTGTGTGTGCGCATCAGGACATCGCTGAACGTGTGTGTGCGCATCAGGACATCGCTGAACGTGTGTGTGCGCATCAGGACATCGCTGAACGTGTGTTTGCGCATCAGGACATCACTGAACGTGTGTGTGCGGATCAGGACATCGCTGAACGTGTGTGTGCGCATCAGGACATCACTGAACGTGTGTGTGCGCATCAGGACATCGCAGAACGTGTGTGTGCGCATCAGGACATCGCTGAACGTGTGTGTGCGCATCAGGACATCGCTGAACGTGTGTTTGCGCATCAGGACATCACTGAACGTGTGTGTGCGGATCAGGACATCGCTGAACGTGTGTGTGCGCATCAGGACATCGCTGAACGCGTGTGTGCGCATCAGGACATCGCTGAACGTGTGTGTGCGCATCAGGACATCGCTGAACGTGTGTGTGCGCATCAGGACATCGCTGAACGTGTGTGTGCGCATCAGGACATCGCTGAACGTGTGTGTGCGCATCAGGACATCGCTGAACGTGTGTGTGCGGATCAGGACATCGCTGAACGTGTGTGTGCGCATCAGGACATCGCTGAACGTGTGTGTGCGCATCAGGACATCGCTGAACGTGTGTGTGCGCATCAGGACATCGCTGAACGTGTGTGTGCGCATCAGGACATCGCTGAACGTGTGTGTGCGCATCAGGACATCGCTGAACGTGTGTGTGCGCATCAGGACATCGCTGAACGTGTGTGTGCGCATCAGGACATCGCTGAACGTGTGTGTGCGGATCAGGACATCGCTGAACGTGTGTGTGCGCATCAGGACATCGCTGAACGTGTGTGTGCGGATCAGGACATCGCTGAACGTGTGTGTGCGCATCAGGACATCGCTGAACGTGTGTGTGCGCATCAGGACATCGCTGAACGTGTGTGTGCGCATCAGGACATCACTGAACGTGTGTGTGCGGATCAGGACATCGCTGAACGTGTGTGTGCGCATCAGGACATCGCAGAACGTGTGTGTGCGCATCAGGACATCGCTGAACGTGTGTGTGCGGATCAGGACATCGCTGAACGTGTGTGTGCGCATCAGGACATCGCTGAACGTGTGTGTGCGCATCAGGACATCACTGAACGTGTGTGTGCGGATCAGGACATCGCTGAACGTGTGTGTGCGCATCAGGACATCGCTGAACGTGTGTGTGCGCATCAGGACATCGCTGAACGTGTGTGTGCGCATCAGGACATCACTGAACGTGTGTGTGCGGATCAGGACATCGCTGAACGTGTGTGTGCGCATCAGGACATCGCTGAACGTGTGTGTGCGCATCAGGACATCGCTGAACGTGTGTGTGCGCATCAGGACATCACTGAACGTGTGTGTGCGCATCAGGACATCGCTGAACGTGTGTGTGCGCATCAGGACATCACTGAACGTGTGTGTGCGGATCAGGACATCGCTGAACGTGTGTGTGCGCATCAGGACATCGCTGAACGTGTGTGTGCGCATCAGGACATCGCTGAACGTGTGTGTGCGCATCAGGACATCGCTGAACGTGTGTGTGCGCATCAGGACATCGCTGAACGTGTGTGTGCGCATCAGGACATCGCTGAACGTGTGTGTGCGCATCAGGACATCGCTGAACGTGTGTGTGCGCATCAGGACATCGCTGAACGTGTGTGTGCGCATCAGGACATCGCTGAACGTGTGTGTGCGCATCAGGACATCGCAGAACGTGTGTGTGCGCATCAGGACATCGCTGAACGTGTGTGTGCGCATCAGGACATCGCTGAACGTGTGTGTGCGCATCAGGACATCGCTGAACGTGTGTGTGCGCATCAGGACATCGCTGAACGTGTGTTTGCGCATCAGGACATCGCTGAACGTGTGTGTGCGGATCAGGACATCGCTGAACGTGTGTGTGCGCATCAGGACATCTCTGAACGTGTGTGTGCGGATCAGGACATCGCTGAACGTGTGTGTGCGCATCAGGACATCGCTGAACGCGTGTGTGCGCATCAGGACATCGCTGAACGTGTGTGTGCGCATCAGGACATCGCTGAACGTGTGTGTGCGCATCAGGACATCGCTGAACGTGTGTGTGCGCATCAGGACATCGCTGAACGTGTGTGTGCGCATCAGGACATCGCTGAACGTGTGTGTGCGCATCAGGACATCGCTGAACGTGTGTGTGCGCATCAGGACATCGCTGAACGTGTGTGTGTGCATCAGGACATCGCTGAATGTGTGTGTGCGCATCAGGACATCGCTGAACGCGTGTGTGCGCATCAGGACATCACTGAACGTGTGTGTGCGCATCAGGACATCACTGAACGTGTGTGTGCGCATCAGGACATCACTGAACGTGTGTGTGCGCATCAGGACATCACTGAACGTGTGTGTGCGCATCAGGACATCACTGAACGTGTGTGTGCGGATCAGGACATCGCTGAACGTGTGTGTGCGCATCAGGACATCGCTGAACGTGTGTGTGCGCATCAGGACATCACTGAACGTGTGTGTGCGCATCAGGACATCACTGAACGTGTGTGTGCGGATCAGGACATCCCTGAACGTGTGTGTGCGCATCAGGACATCACTGAACGCGTGTGTGCGCATCAGGACATCACTGAACGTGTGTGTGCGCATCAGGACATCACTGAACGTGTGTGTGCGCATCAGGACATCACTGAACGCGTGTGTGCGCATCAGGACATCGCTGAATGTGTGTGTGCGCATCAGGACATCGCTGAACGCGTGTGTGCGCATCAGGACATCGCTGAACGTGTGTGTGCGCATCAGGACATCGCTGAATGTGTGTGTGCGCATCAGGACATCGCTGAATGTGTGTGTGCGCATCAGGACATCGCTGAACGTGTGTGTGCGCATCAGGACATCGCTGAACGCGTGTGTGCGCATCAGGACATCGCTGAATGTGTGTGTGCGCATCAGGACATCGCTGAACGTGTGTGTGCGCATCAGGACATCACT